ATACCGTGCAACTGTAGTTTTGCAGATGCATCGGTATCTGTCATTGCTTCTCTGTATTTTATCATCAAGGTGTTCAATGTTTAAATATTTCCGATAAACACACCTATATGTATTTAGAGTCTGGGTCGCTCAGAGTTCCCTGTACTAGTAGCTTGCTGGCTAAAGTCTGCGCCAACCTTTATGTTGATAACTCCCTGTTATGATTTGTATTAACGTTGTAGGTAATATTTAATCTCCTATATATATGCTTCTATGTATGGAGTACTTGTTATTTTTGAGCTTCTGTCTTACGCTTCACACGCTCGCGGAGATCGGTAAGCAGAAGGCTGGATATTCCTGAACAGAGATATACTGACAGGCTTTAGTTACTATCAAAAGCTTACGACGTTGATTAATTTCTTCTTGTAAGTCATGTTTGTTCTCGGTTTTATATTACGTGGGGACGTTTGGGGATCTTTAGGCGGTCTTGCTAACATAAAAAGTAACTCGATATGTCCCTTGTGCTGCTGGGAGGGGGTCTGGGCAATGTCCAACCTTTGTTGGACTCGCCTAGCCCCCAGGAATATCTTCAAAGGCGCGACGCCTTTTTTAACGACCTGATAGAGGGTGATAGACGGTCTCAGGCCAAGGACGCCGGCTTTAAAGAGAAGACCGAGTTGACCAACAAGTCTAACGGCGCGACGAGGGAGTTCTTCCTCGCCTTTGATACACTTGAAATCGGCAGCAAAGCCTTGTGTCGACGCTGCCGAAGAATCAATAGCCGGCAGACCCCAGCCTCACGATTCCCAGGTTTCGATGACAAGAATTGGAAACAGCTGGAGCGCATTGCGCGCCGCTTGGACTGTGATAAATTGTCCTCGATCTTCAACGCAGCCGCTGAAGCAAGCCGGTCTGGCAAAGGACGCCTAGAGAGGAACGCATCACACGCAAGCATTCGATGATGGATTCATCCGAAGACTCGGATAAAAAAGCAAAGAAAGTGGAGGCAACATGGCGCTTGCGCTTCCCTTTTGGTCTTCCAGGAGAGCCATTAACATAAGTTGTCGGTCAAGCACCGCCCAGAAGTCGTGCTTCGAAATTAACATACGCCTCTGGACGAAGCATTTGACAAAGCCTGGCAGAAGAAGGGCACGCACCTGGATTAAAGCGTGGTCTTTCGAAACAGTCCATACCAAAGACTTCTATATTAGTGCTAGAGCCTACTAGTTCAGTTTCGCTCTACTAATCACGACGCTGAACCATGCCTCTGCTTTGCCTCTTCTCCCCCTTCTGACGGTACCAACTCGACAACACCAACAGCCCAGCCCCAAGAACGAGCACACTGCCCCCAAAGACCTGCGCATATAGATATCCCCCGCCCCGCGCCCCCATGGCCTGCACAAGCGCCCCTCCCAGCGGCGGGCCCGTGAGCGTGGCGACCGAGACCACCGCGAACGCCATGCCCGTTCTGGCGCCCATCTTGCCAACGTCCTTTGTCAGACTCGCGCAGCTCGCGGGGAATAAGGCCTGGACCGCGGCTGCGAAAGATCCGTACAGGCAGCTGAACGCGAATAAGCCAGGCAGGTCGCGCACGGCGATCCAGCTGTAGAACATGACGCTTGTGCAGAGGACCGCGAGGATCAGCGTGTGCAGAAGCCCGAGGCACTTGTCTGCGATGAAGCCAAAGATGACTCTGCTCGGCGCGCCGATGGCGTTCATGGCGAGGAGTAGTGTGAGAGATGTTGATGTGTCCACGGCGATGTAGTCCTTGCCGTACTGGCTGACCTGTTTAACAAATAGCACCAAGTGGTCAGCTTCAAGTTCTCGGAGAGAGAGCGACGTAGATGGAAAATTCTCTCTCCGAGATGGAAAATGTAAGAAAGAAAAAAAGACTCACATAGTAAAACGCAAAGTACAGAGCAAGCCACACAGCAAACATGCCCGTGCAGAAGAGGGTGTACGGCGGCTCGCGGAAGGCGGACCACTCAAAGAACCCGGCAAACGTCACTTTGCTGTCGTTCTTCCTCTCCAGCGATAAGAACCGTGGCTTCACCAGCGCCAGCATGACCGCGGCGTTAAACAGCACAATAAACCCCATGACCCTGACCGTCCAGCCGTACCCGATCCGTGGCATGAGCTGCTGCGCAATCAGCGGGAACACGACGCCTCCCGTAGAGGTCCCGCTCGCCGCGATCGCCATGGCCACAGCCCGCCGCTTGGAGAAATACGTGGGCACGTTGGCGACCGTGGGACAAAAGACCAGCCCGTCCCCCAGCCCCTTGCACAGCCCCTGTGTCAACAACAGCTGCCAATACGTGCTCGACACGGACGCCGTCATGATGGCGAGGATCTGCAAGGTGGTGCCCGCGATGACAGCCTGCCGGAGGTAGCCCATGTCCAGCGCGCGGCCAGACACGCTGCCGATGGCGAAGGCGAGAAAGATCTGAAGCGAGCCGATCCAGCTTATCGACGATGAAGCGGTGCCGGGGAGGAGAGTGTCGGTGTAGTACGACTGGAAGAGCCCGAACGAGGTCATGTAGCCCCAGCCATTGAAGGAGCCGAGGTGGGCGACGACGACCTGGGCCCAGGCGCGGAAGCCGCCGTCCGGGGGAGGCAGCGGAAGTGTACATGTGTCTGCTTGCTGCTGAGCAGGGGGTGTGGCCGCATCGTTGTCATGGTTGGAATTGCTGCTGCTGTTGCGACTTTTGCTCTTGTCGTCGTTTGCGGCGTCCTGGTTGGCGAGCTTCATCTTGGAGACTGCGATTGTGTCGCTGTCCGACCTCGCGAGTTAGGACTGGTTGTGGTGCTGCTCCGTACTCGGTATTGAAACAAGGATGGAAGAAGAAGGGAAGAGTCTTCTCCCTTACATGACAGTCTTATAGGTTCTGAAGGTCCGTGAGGCTCTGATGTGTCATAATTGGAGACGTTGCAGGGATCTGAACCAACAGGCACGCTTATAAATCCAAAGCGACATGAGATAAGGTGTGCAGACCACAACAGCAGATGTACTGTCGATCACAAGCGCTACGGGGCATTCCACAAGAATTTAGGGCGTTTAAAGAACGGAGCATTTCTGAACAGACAGGGATCTGGATGGTGTGGAACCACAATGTACGTATCGGAGCTTTCATTGCGGGCCTGAATAGTAATGGTGGCTCCGTTCTCGGCAGCGCGTACTTAGTACAGTGGGCCTGTACGTACAAGTCAGATCAATTGACTCCACACCCCACCTGTGACTTGACCTACCCTGCGACATCGTACTGAATACGTGTTGTTTTGCGCACGTACAAGTAAACTTGAAGTCAGCCACCTCATCAATCAAACCAGTCCCGTCACCATGGCCCTTCATCAAGCACAATCGACCATTCACAAGGGATCCCAGCGGACGGCCAAGTCATGGACAACCTCTCACGGAGGATCCTTTCAACGACGATACCTACGCGCCAACCGACCAGGTTGAGTTGTGGAGGTGAAAACAGCGGTGACCACAAGAATATTTCATACCAGACATGGAGCGTTTACTTGCCCGAAAGAAATCGACATCGTCTCTTGCCCGCGAACGTGCAAGCTTCGGCACGTCACAACATCAAGCGATCAGAAGCCGAGGAAAGAGAAAAGTACTCCGTACCGAGATCCGCGCTATGAAACACTACTGGAGACGAAGGGCAGTTTCATGACCAAGTGCAGCCTCGGCGTTTCGGGTCCTAGCAAGACTCTTTTCCAGGCTTGACTTAAAGCGAAGCAGATGGTTCCCAAGGATTCGCTTTGCCGCGACGGTGTCTTCGAGTCCACAACAGAAACGAAACTAGGATCATCCAAGATATTACTCGGCTGTAGCACTCGCCCCTGACAAGATTACTCCGTGGGGTTCGGCCGCGAGGCATTCGCCAATAACCAGCTTGTCAAGCTGTCGCCATTCCTTGGCAACTCCATCGCTGGCGACCAATCCTTCTTCATGGGCACCTACTATATGTACTTCCTGTTCCTGAAGTGCCGCTGCGCGGCACGTAGCAGACCTCCAGAACGCCCACAGCGGGACTCTTGCGACATGGGCTGTTGTCGAGCTTGATCGTGCTGTGAAGCGCGAAGGCGAGGTCGACCGGCAAATCATGGCCTTTTTCATATCGCACGCCCATAGGTCGGTGCGGATCTATGGTCGCTATATCAACGAATTGTCGTCCGATTTGGACTTGGACAACACGTCAGGGCGCACCCAGGAGCCGGACTTTCCTAGGATTGGAAGAGCTATCATCTGTCACAGTCGGATGCTGACTCTGCTTCAAGCGCTGTTGAGCAGGATGGTTAGTCTAGCGACGCAAGGGAGTGGTCAACGATCATGGCAGACATTGCAGAAACACCGGCAGCCAGAAATGGCAAAGACAAGAGTCCTCGGGATCGGCTGCTTACCCTAGAGCCTATCTCAGGCGATGAAGATGAGTGTAGACCAACCGTTCATTGGCGAAGTGAACCTCTGGGATGGCAAAGAAGACTTGAAGGCAGGCAAAGAGCCGAAGTCTGATGAGAACGGAGTTCCAATCCGCAGGCTTGAATCGGCTTCGAACGTTGGGGCTCTCGAAAAAGAGAAGTACAAAGCCACGGACGATCATAACTTGAAGAATCTGGCACATGGCCAGAAACAGTGGTCTACATGTACCAAGGACCGTCATGGCTTCGCCGAGCCTACCTGTGCGCGTAAGCGCGTCCCCCAGGGGGCCCCGGGTTCGGTCCGAATCCGCCCATGCTAGTACCTACGCCGAGTTGACGATCATCTATCCGAACACCGATGTGCCGAGCACTAGATGCGAGTGTTGAGTTGAGCTAGAGGCAGCATTTGTGATCCGTACGATCCATTTCTGACTTTCCCCTTGATCTGGCCTGAAGAACTAAAATGGACTCGCAGATCTCTTGCTCCGCTTCCATTCAAGATCTATTGTCAACACCCATTCATTTCGCATCTCCTATAACCATAGTTGAGCATCAAGCACTTGGTTCTTTACATCTCCATCTTACAAAGCAACACCATGTCGTCAGAAGCCACTGCCGAACTGTACAGGGACGTCCCAAAGGCGGATCTGCTCACCATTGACTTTGCCAACCTCTTCGACAAGGACCCCAAGGAGCTCGCCAAGCTGATTCGCGCCTGCGAGCGGGATGGCTTCTTCTACATTGACCTACAGAATCCGAGCTCCGCCAACTTCTGGAGCGACCTCTTTCGTGCGGACGAGATCACGAAGAAGTGGTTCGCCCTGCCTGAGGATTTGAAGCTCCAGACTCCGACCGTTTCCCTCGCGCACGGGTATGTGTTTATATTCTTGAACTTTAGCAGATGGAACATGGACGGCTCATGTTTGGACGACACAGGTTCAAGGCGGTAGGGAACCAATCTGGCGCCATTGAGTCCCACCGGGATGGCTTCGAAGCTCTCAAGGTACGCTGCCAAACACAGCCGGCTAGGCAGCACAGAGCCCAGCTTACTGACCAGTCCTGTTCCACTCCGGCAGATCGGGAAGCACGAGCTGAGCGGCCGCTGGGCCCTCGCCCCCGTCGTCCGTGAGCACCTTGCGCTGTTCGACCACGTCACCGCATCGTGCCACTTCATCTCCAAGCTCCTGCTCGACTGCCTGTCCGACGGGCTCGGTCTCAAGGGCGAGGCCCGTCTCGAGACGCACCACCGCGACGACTGCCGCTCCAAGTCGACCCTCTACTTCCTGCACTACCCCCCCGGCGACCAGAACCCCGATCAGGTGGGCCAGAACATGCATACGGACATTGGCACGCTGACGATCCTCTGGGCGCCGCAATGGGGGCTCCAGGCCTTCGCGCCCGGGACGGGTACGTGGGAGTACATCGAGCCCCGCCCGGGCAAGATCATCGTCAACGTCGGCGACACGCTGCGCTTCCTGTCGGGTCGGCGGTTCAAGTCGGCCCTGCACCGCGTGCTGCCCATTGGCGGGGTCCAGCACGAGGACCGCTACGCGACATCGTACTTTCTGCGGGCCAACGACTCGACAGAGTTTGAGGACAGCAACGGCCAGGACTCGGACGCCAAGTCGTGGTACCTCCAAAAGTACCAGATGTACGAGATGCCGCACGAGATCCAGAAGCAGCGGACTGTGCTGTCGGGCGGCATGGCGCAGGAGCTCAAGGCGAGTTTCTGAAGTAAGGACGTGGCCTTCAATATGAGATACAGTCTATTTGCAGAGGAGGAGGGTAAAAGGAGGTTGTCAAAGAAAGGTACCTTTCTATACTACATAGATATGCCAGTGGAATGTAACACGCTCATTGTCCGTACGTCTTGTCTCTCGTGTTTCTGCTATCAGCGAGAGTATTTTCTCAGGCAATATTATTCGTTCCTTTGATTTACGATAACCTATTGTCTCAAGAGATCCGGACACCTAGCCTAACCCGTGCGCCAAAGGTCGATCTATGCTTGAAGGACCAATAGAAGTGCCGGCGACTTTAGCTTCTTCATTGGCTCAATTAACTCTATTTGTATGCATACTTGCATACCCGCGAAGCAAACGCACGGACCAGGTGTCCGGAGCTTTTGAGATAATACGGTACAGGGGCCGAGGCGTGACAACGTACACATATGCACGAGAATACGAATCACACATCCCTTCGGAAACGAGGACCATCTAATGGACGAGCAGCGCACTGCTCCACACACCCACCGGAGCTCAGTCACAGTTACGCGCTATCCAAAGTAGATGTCTGATTGGGCTAGCTTCCTCCACTGGCTGTCCTTGCCAGGGATGGTCGTAGTATAATTTTTATGCATAGTAGTTAGACTGCGACTGCGACGATGACGTGGTGTAATCGGTGTATCAAGTGTAGTGCCAAGTTAATATCGAGACATTCATGTTGCTTGTTGGCCGGGAATCCGACTATGCTCCGGGACATTGATCCATCCCGTAATCGATCGCTACATGTAGTTGTCCCAAACACAGCTACAGATCAGCGGCCATTCGGAGTATCCGTACCTCAGAGAGCCATTACCCCGATGATCCTTGTTTCTGGCACACGAAGCATTGAGGCGAATTCAGCCGCCAGCCTTTTCAGCCCCTTCATGTTGGATCCGAGTACGTCCAGCGTCTGACTCGTGCCTTGCTCTTTGGTGAAATACTCGTGGCCAGCCACGCCGCATAATGTGCTTTGCACCGAATGTTCGCAGGTCCGAATGCTTGCGACGTTCGGAGCAAAGGGGGACTCGACGGAATGGAACAAGATCGGAGACACTTACTGAGGGCGTGTTTCCCTAGTCGCAAGCGATGATGGGTGTTGGAGTGATAGGATGTGCAGAGAGCACTTTCGTTGTCTTGACACTGCAGCTCTCATGCCTACATAAGCCGTGCTTTTACCACCGAATGGGCAGATGCTAGAGCCTCAAACACACCCGCACTCACCCATCCTCCCTTGCAAGACACAAGGCAGTAAAAGGAGCGACCATGGCCAGCGACACAACAGCGCGTGAACAGGCCCATCTCCACACCTTGACGTTCTCTTCCGTCGTCAAGGGCGAGGCAGCTGCGCTCGCGACACTGGTCGATGCATGCGAGAAGGACGGCTTCTTCTACCTGGACCTCCGCGACTGGGACTCGGGCGACATGCTCGCGAGCCTGCAGGCGGCCGGAGACCTGATGAAGGAGTGGTTCAAGCAGCCGCTCGACAAGAAGCTGGCCACTGAGACCCTGTCTGACGCGCACGGGTAAGGAACCAGAGACCTCAGCTGTACACACTCCACTCCGGACACGACACGAAACGCTGACTCTTGCTGCCACCCTTGCCACAGGTACAAACCACCCGGCGTACAGTCTGGCGTCACCGAGAACGCCCGCGACGGCTTCGAAGCCCTGAGAGTACGTATGCAAAAGCCCCTCCCCCCATCCTTGATTGTAAATCGCTCGCCCCAATGTAACATGAACTCACACAGGTCACAGATCAGCCGAACCGGCATGCTCAGCCGCCAGCACCTCCCCGACATCGTGCAGGCGAACCTAGACGTCTTTGAAAAGTACCAGCTCTCAGCGCATTACGTGCTCAGGACCCTGCTCGCCCGTCTCTCCGACGCCACCGGCCTGCAGGGCCACGAGCGCTACGAAGCGTACCACCCGGACCACCTCCCGTCCAAGTCGACCCTCTTCTTCCTCCACCACCCAAGGACCGAGGCGCTCCCCGACCAGACAGGCCGGGGCCACAACGCGCACACCGATGTCGGCTCCTTCACGCTGCTCGTCACAGAGCAGCCCGGCCTGCAGGTGCTGTCCCCCGTCACGGGCCAGTGGGAGTACGTCGACGCCAAGCCGGGCTGCGCCATTGTCAACGTCGCCGACACGCTGCGCTTCATCTCCCAGCGGCGATTCCGCTCCGCCATGCACCGCGTGCTGCCCCCCGGGGGCAAGATGGCGCAGGACCGGTACTCGACCGCCTACTTCCTTCGTGCCGGGGACGACGTCGTGCTCCAGGGCATGGACGGCCGCCAGGTCACGGCCGGCGAGTGGTTCCTCAGCAAGTACGCGAGCTTTAACCAGACCATAGAGGAGCAGCGCACCAATTCGATCGCGACGGGGGGCATGGAGCGCGACCTCGGCGTTGCCATCTAGACCAGCTGAGTGTACGTGGAATTTCCGGCGCGGAAAGAAAGGTACCTAGAGTCAAGAAAACAATGTCTGTGACGTATCAAACCAGCTGGCGTGAGAATGAGCTTCCTCCGTAGTCGGCCATGCCCACAGGCTTAGTAGAGAAGCCGGTAATACAGGCTGGAATGTCCCGAATGATTTCCGATGCTCCGAAGAAGTGTCGGCCGTCAGATGACTGGCAAAACCAAAACCTCTACGCTAAAACGGTTCCGGATATAAATCAAGGGTCCCTGACCCATGGAGTCACTGGTCCTTGTACCATGTAGATTCTCAGCAAGACCAAGACCACCCCACAGCCACCATGGTCAACCTTCCAGAGCCCTTGGCCTCGATTCCTCGCACGCCGCTCCTATGGCCGTACCCCTCGCCGCTGCACTTGATGCCGCACCTGACCGAGCACATCCACGCCACGACCTCGTGCGGCACCGGCACGCGGTTCTGGGCCAAGCGGGAAGACTGCTCCTCGGGGCTGGGCTTGGGCGGCAACAAGATACGGAAGCTCGAGTACATAGTCCCCGAGGCGCTGCAGCTTGGGGCCACGACGCTCGTCACGACGGGTGGCGTGCAGAGCAACCACATGCGGCAGGTCGTCGCGGTGGGCAACAGCCTGGGGATGAAGACGGTGCTCGTGCCCCAGGAGGCTCATCCGGTCAACGGCAGCGGCAACAGGGCAGGAAAAGGAACAGGAACAGCAAATGGAGACGAGGACCTTTTCCTCCGACTGGGTAACGTACAAGTCAACCGCATCCTAGGCGCCGAGGTCGTCTCGCAGCCCAGCGTGTCAATGGAGCAGGTCGCCGCCGAGATCAGAACCGCGGGCGGCGTGCCGTACATCATCTCGTCGGGAGCCTCGGCGCACGCCTATGGCGGGCTCGGGTTTGCGCGGTGGGCGTTTGAGATCGTCGAACAAGAGTCGCAGCTCGGCGTCTTCTTCGACGTCCTTGTCGCGCCCGTGGCGTCGGGGGGCACGGTCGCGGGCATGATTGCTGGCTTCAAGGCAGCCGACAAGGCCAAGAGGCAGCGTAGGATCATCGGCGTCGACACGTACGACAAACCCCCCGGCGAGCTGGAGGGCAAGATCCTCGAGATTGCCCAGCGCACGGCGGGTGTCCTCGGGCTCGGCAGGGACGCCGTCCAGGCAGGGGACGTGGTGCTGGACACGAGATACAATCGGGGCACGCACCGGGACTGGGACGAGAGGGCCGAGGCGGGCGTGCGAGAGCTGGGGAGCACAGAAGGGATCGTAGCGGACCCGATCTATTCGGGTCGCGCGCTCGGGGCCATCCTGGACATGGCGGCAAGGGGCGAGCTGAACGACAAGAATAACGTCTTGTTTGTGCACACGGGGGGACAGGCCGCTCTCGGGGCGTTTCCCAAGGTAGCGTCAGTCGTGTAGATGATCAAGGTACGTAAGACGGGGAACATGAACAGTCGGGCTTGGCTGCTTGCGTGGAGGCTTGGCTACATGGACTTGCTTGCGGGCTTGATGTGACAGGAGTCGGGCGCTGCACTAGGAAAGGGACGGGCCGCTATTGGGAACGGTTCGTTCCACGGAGGCCCTGCTCCTTTAGCACGGGGGATTCAATCTGATCCAATGTACATGCACCCTCCTTGCATGTGGCATGCGAGTATAAGATTCCGCGCTCGCGCTTGCGACCTTGCATGCATGCATGGCTGACATGGCATGGCCCTATGCTTATGATCGATTCTTGCAAACGATCACAAACACAGCCCTTTTGCGCCTTTTTCGCTCCGTGTATGGAAGGCATTACGTGTACTCAAAGAGGACATGCCGGGGACCCTACGCGTAGCTCCGATGGTACCTCGAGACCACATCAGGGATTGAGCAGTATATGAACGGAGCCACAATTCTTCACGATCATCACTCCCTTATCCGGAAGGTGGCAAGAGGTCAAACTCCGTGACAGGTTCGTTCATCAGGGCCTTAAAGTTTGAACACCTGGCTAACCATCAACTACCTTCCCGTCTGCGTTGCGTTCTGGCGTGCGTTGCCGACTCTTGTGACTTGTCCCGATGATAGCCTTCTCGGAACATGAACATGGCAATGACGACGCGTCACAGACCGCGAAGCGGCTGGCATGTGAGCGCTGTCGCAGCCAGAAACTGCGCTGCATCCGCCGCGACAAGGACACATCGCCCTCCTGCGCTCGCTGCGCCCGGGCCCAAGTGCCATGTGTTGTGCGTCCACGCAAGACCCCTGGGCGCCCAGCCGGATACAAGCACTCTACAAGCATGCCTCAGCAGACGTCCGCGGACAGTCCCGATAGAATGCCGACTGCTGTGCACGATCACGCTGACCAAGATCACGTTGACCACGTACATGTAGACAGCTCCAACAACCTGTCCATGTTTGATGGCGTGCACGACTTCCTCCTGGACGCTGCGGCTATCGACAACGACCAGAGCAATGAATTCGGCACCCCCCGAGTCCCTGATGGTTACACCACCACCACCGCCAATTTGCCGGGTTCCATCTTCATCGGCCCCTCCGTGACAACCGGTTCCTCCCTAAGCTGGCGCTCGATGACTGCAACGCCATCCCTCTCCCAGATACTACCACCATCCGAGAGCAGGCCATCCTCTTCTTCTTCTTCTTCTCTGCCGGGCCTGCAGCTCTCCGAGTTTCAACAGAATCTTACAAGCCACTTGGCCCAGCTGCGCTCAACACCCTGGGACATCCTCAGCACCCTACGACTGGAGAGCACCCCCTGCCTCACCTGCCACCGGCCAGCAATAGATCCCCTCCTGGGGGCCGCGTTTGATCCTCTCACGAGCACGTTCCGCCACATGGCCGAGTTTGAGCGCATCATCTCCCATTTCAGGACGCGCGGAATGAACCTGCACATCACCAGCGGGGCTGCTGCCGCCGCCGCAGACGACCACGGGCCGCCCATGGAGCTCTCGTACGTGCTGACGGCCGTGTCGTGCTACATCCAGCTGGTGCTCATCTACGACTGCATCCTGTCCCACCTGGCCGAGCAGTGCGCCAACAATCGCATCGTGCGCGACTTCATCTTGCTCTCCGCGCCGTCCCTGTCGCTGGGCGGCCAGGCTTTGCCACCGAGCAGGAACCTCCTGGGCAAGTCCCTGGTGCGGCTTCTCGAGAGCAGGATCGGGACGATCGAGGCTCTTCTCGGGTTGCCAGACGAGGTACGAGTGTCGAGGGGTGGGAGGAGGAGGAGGAAGGGCAGGGGGCGCAACGCGGAGGGCGCCGAGGACGAGTGTGGTGCCAGTGTCAGCGACAGGAGCGAGGGGCCAGGCCTAGTCGGCAAGTCGCTGCTGGGCGTGCTCCACGCTTCCTTGATGACAAGGGAGTCGGACAATGGGCGACCAGCTATCCTGGAGAGCCTGAGGGCGCGAATGGTGTACCTGGAGCAGCTGGCCTGACGCGTGTGTCAGAGCTGTCTGGCCCTCAGCGTATTGCATACTGTGTCGCTGGTGCATCCAGAGCCCAGAACTAGGCTCGTTAGCTATCCAGGGAATCCATCCAGGGCACTTGGCAACTTACATTCAAGCCAGTGATATTTACAAGTAGTCTACATGTAGCCATGGCCTTGACCCTGGGACCATTGCCAAGAGAACATATGCCACAATGGACCGAGTATTCGTACCCTTGCAGTAAGGCCAATGACTATGATGAGCTTGAAATATCCACTACGTCAGAAACCTTCAGGTACTCCGCTACTAGGCTCCTAACATACATGTAGTGAATACATGTAAGCTAGGGCCGTGGTGTTTGTAGTTACTATAGAGGAGAGCATTCGGATTCATGGAGTACAACGTAGAATCACACTCTTCTTCTGCCTCCGTTGCGGATTCTTTTCTATTGTAGACGTAGCTAACTCTCGTTATGTCGTCGCCGACGGATTACGCCTCGCTCGACTCTAGGAACTAGCGATCGGAGTAAAATAACATCTATCCTTAGACTAGTGACTAGGAAATCAAGACCACCTTATAGTAAGGCGGTAAGTAATCTGCTGATAGGTCGCGCTCGATAATCTCTATTTTCTACTAGGCGATCGGATATCCGAGGTTTCGGCGTTGTTTCATCTCCGGCGCTAGCTAAGGGATATCTCTTGGGTAATAGTATGATCTATCGGGTACTGAGATCCTAATTCCGAAGCACGGTTCAGATATTCGCCGGTCGTTTGTTGACAAATCGGAGACATTATTTAGTGGAACGTATGCCTGTTACTGTGTCATGGGAGATGTCGATCCTGATAATTTCCGGAGCACCCTTCTGAGCCATCATCTGTGTGTCGAAGCCTTTTCCACATGCTCTGTCCAGGACTCGTAGTTCAGTAAGGTCGCCCATTGCCTCATTGGCGCACCTGTCTTGCACGCACGATCGGGATCGGCCTGTCCTTTAACTGTGTGTACAGCGACCCGAAGCCGTCGTACTGAGCCATTGCAGTTCAGCCTGTATTTCGGACCAGTTGGCGGGAATGCTTCAAAGAACACTAGATGTCTGGTCTAGTGGAAGCCTTGTATAGAATGAAGTATGTATGGATTCCACACTGCCTAGCGGTCCGAGCCCGGTGTGTCGAGCCTCAGTGCCTGTCTTCATGTTTCCAATGGTGGTTCGGTGGCCCAGGCACTGGATGCGGGCGGGATCCCGTAGTTCCCAGTAGGTAGTAAGGTAAGGTGTATGTGACAGAGAGAGGTGTGGCTTGGGTCCGTAGGGGTGCTTCTTACGCCCGGATCCAGTAACGCTTGTGAGGTATGCGTTTTCTGAATCGACGGCCTTATCGTCGGGCCATACATGGGTATCGAGCACCGACTCACCGCCCGCCCACTGCCATTGACAATAACGTGGGCGCTCTGCAGGCCAGGCATACCACTGTCCTTGCCGTTACAACCATAGGCCAAGAAAGGTCACTCTTGAGATGCCAAGAGCTTAAGTTCTAATTCAGGAAAGAGACAAGATTGCTCCCGTGTCACTCCTCACGGCTACCTTATAGCTGTCATAGACACGCAGAGTGGCGGGGCCTTAGCACACCAAACGGCCACCACGGACACGAAAGGTATATAAAGTATGCCTTACTACTAGTAGTAGTTAATTACAATATTACGATCATATATAACAGATATAAGGGTATAAATTAGGCGAACGAAGTCCCCGAACCTAGTTATAACTTAGAAACTTTAATAACTAAATAACGATTACTTTAACGCACGGATAATAAATAAATATATTGTTCCTCGAGATGATCTTCTCTTAGTACGGAATACCCGAAGGTATTATATCGGATAGAGGAGTTTTATTTATAAGTAGTTTCTAGCGAAGCTTCTGCTACCTACTAGCATATAAGCGGCGGCTTAGTACGTTCTTTTACCCGTAAATAGATAGTTAGATAGAACGGTAGAATCAGAACCTCGAATACTACTTATAAACCTATTATATAAAATACTAAACCGATTAGGTATAGTAGCTAACCTTAGCCGAGTTTATATATAATAAAGCTATATATAGTATTCTCGGCGAGTTACTTACGAAATTATTACGAGGATTCTAACTAAGAAGTATCGGATCTATAATAAATATAGATAGGATTTCGGCGGCTATAGATAAAAAGATTAGCTATTTATATAAAAGCTACGGGAAGGCGGCGAAATCTCTATATATAGCCGGCGAATATTATACTAAGTAAATAATAGGAAATAATTATAAAGAACTTTTTAGGTAAGAGACTAAGTATTATTTTCTACAAAAAACTTAAACTTATAGTAGCTTAGCCGTAAGCTCGTAAAAAAATACATAGGATTATACTAGGTTTAGGAAGTAATTAGCGACTATAGCCTTATATATAGGATTAGGTTACTATCGGCGGTTAAAGTCTATAACGTGTTTAATATATTATCACTAGAACCCTATTATAGTAACGAACTCGCACCGATAGAGCCGAGTAATTACCCTTTCTTCGAAGATCTAATATAGGAAATAGAACGTATTATAGGCTACCGATATAACGGCCGACGAAGGTTATATCTTATAAAATAGAAAGATTACCCTAATAATAAAAATACTTATTAAAAGAAATCGGATTTTATAAACTTCGCCTATATTAAGGATTATAAGTAATACTTACGCGGCGATATCGTAATAAGTTTATAGGGAGAGAGAAATAAGCTAGGGTAAATATAGAAGTAGAAAGGGGTAAAAGGTATTAAATAAATACCGAGGGAATTAATTATAGTAAAATTAATAACGCTACGCTATACCACGAAAGCGCGGCGAGGTCGTAGCGTAAGGGCACGGACGGACGGATAGATACTATTCTTATTAATCCTCCTTAGACTCGTCCTCCTCGGTTATCTCCTCGTCTAATAGAGGCGGGAGCGGCAGGAACTACCGGCGAGTTAGTAACGAGTATATAGCGAGGATAAAAGGAAAGTAAGACTCATGTCCTTAGCGTAAAGACGCCGGGCGATCTACTCCGATAGCGCTAGTTACCGGGTGGCTAGCTTATTAGCGCGGCGAACACGCCGCGATAACGAAGCTACCTCCCGCGAGGTAGCGGCGCGCGAGCCGCGAGTACTAGCAGCGGCGGCGGCTAGGGTAGTCTTAGCTTTCTTAGCCCTCTCTTTCGTAATAACCCGGAGCTTTTTAAGCTCTAAGGCCGTGGTCCTATTAGTCTAGTTACGAGTTAATATATACCTTATAACGATATAGAGGCGACTTACAGGGTCGGCGTATAGCTTTACCGCTAGGGAGTATATCCGAGTGCCTCTAATAAGCTCGTAAGCCCGGCCGTTACTAATATACTTTTAGTACTTAGTGCTAGCGACTTAGATAAAGTTAGTACGCGGCGAGCTTAATACGATTATACTATTTCTTACCCTCGCTATTATTATAATAGTCTACCTCCCTGGGGGTGGTAGACTTATAGTAGCTTAGATAGATATTAATAAGGTACCTAAGTATAACACCGTGGCCGAAGGAAGTCAGCGGTGCAGTCACAAGGAATCACAGAGGCCTCGGATACTATGGCGTACCGCTATATCAGCATCAATAATACGTACCCGATTCA